GATTACCATTTCTGCCTATGGGACAAAATAAGTGGTATATAAAATAATAATAATTTCAACTTTGCCCCCTGTAAAAAAAAAACACCCCGAAAGTTTAGAAAACAAATAAAATTACAGTCTCAGAAAACATCTCTTTCACTTGGATCTCATTGTCTACAAACAAAATTGTAACATCTTATGACTTGATCAGTAACGAAAGTGTGCCATCCAGCTCTCATGTTTGGAGAAATCGAAAAAGACACTTAATCCCTCTTCTTACATGAGGGCTCAATTTCGAAGAAAGATTAAATAACTGCAACCAATGTAAGTAACTGCAACTACACTGCAAATATTGTGTAATGTAAAAAAGGTTTATTACTTTTTGAAGTAAAAAAAATATTTTGCCATTCAAAATGATTCATGGTATTCCAGTCAATTGAGGGCGCCGTTACTGTGATGTCACTTGAGGGCATACATCAGGTAAGTCGAAATCAATGTGAAATAAGTGATATTTAACCTAAAATTGAATTTCTGTTTAGTTTAAATTTCTCGAAGCTAACCGAGAAATATTTTTTTGAAATTCCTTCAGAAGCACAGTGTCTCACTTATCCCCCCCCCCCCCACCCGACCTTCCCTGAACTGATATACCCCTGCTTATAACTTTTACCTGTTATCTCTCTTTCGGTTCAGTCTCATGGCAAAACTGCACTCTGCACTTTGTAACAACAAATCCTCATCAAGGTTTGTAAAATTCCCATCTCCATTCTACCCGCACCAGACTTGGCGAGTTCACTTCATCCAAAGTATATTATTCATTAGAAGAAAGGAATGATCAAGTCTGCACGATGGAGGTCGAAGAAGGGAAGAAACAGGCATGGGAAAATCACGAAATCGTGGACGTATATAATGCTGCAAGTGCAACGGCCAAGGTGAATACTTCCGCATACCGATGTTATAGAATATATTGTAATGCTAATCGGTTAACAAAAGGGGCAACGTCACAGTGCCCGTGCGCTGTATCGGCCTTTCAACTAGACTGGTTCCCCGGCCCTCCTTGATCGATTATGACCTCCAACGGAGCGGGAACCAGCCTACCTGTCACCTCGTTGCCGTAGCAGCCAAACGGAGTCACTGACCTTGGTTATGGCACAGACTGCAAACTCAGCTCACATAGTCAGTATTACCGTCGTTATCAGTAAAACGTTCTACTCCTTTGGGGGGGAGCAATAAATCGCAGTAATGAACCGCGCATATTAACTGGTGGAATGTTGATAATATGACCGCGGATCGTCCAATCAAGTTTCCACTCTCATGTAGACGACTTTAATCAAAACTCTTAATATGGATGGAGGGTTACGAAATGTGTATTTAGATTGACAAGTAATCATAATAACTGGGAATGAAGTTGACAAATACTTGATAAGTACTAAAATGTTCCAACACCCCATTTCAACAAGCAAATACTGTATCAACGACAAAGACGTCAAAACGTGGCTACAGTTTAATTAAAAGTTTATTTCGAGACCAAAATGGATGTCCGTCAACTGATATATTAAACAAGTACATCTGTTTTAACAATAACTCCCAGATTCTCGGGAGATAAAAAGCTGGGTGTGACAAATAAAAAGACGCATTTCTAATCAAATGAAAATCAACTATTTTTGGTGATTTTGAGCAAACCGGATAAACCATTTTTTACACTTTGCTATTCGCGTCTGATATAATTGGGAGGAAAATAATATTTTTTCCCCACAATCAACAAAAAGTTACAAACAAATAATCAGACGTGTAAAAAGTACACGCCCAATATGTTAACATCAATACATGTTTTACTGAAACTCTAAAAATAATTCCAGTATTTCGTAGTTAAAGCAATCACAGATATCGCCCATATATCACATCATCTAACCTTGCTGAGCGATTTTGGATGATCTACAGACTCAATCATGACTCAACTTTCACGTGGTTTGTGCTTCATATTTAGTTATCATCTCGTTTGTCCCCTTAAAAACATTGAATATGGATGGAGTTGAGCGATTGATACAAAAGTATTAAAAACTTGTGTAAATGAAAATAATTTATGATCACTATCAAACAAGTCATATGATAAATATAATGTCATGTTCAATACCGGTACGTGTAAAAGTAGCAAGGCATACAGACATTTTACGATATATACAGACACAGTGTTTGTGTTTTCAAGAAAGCATAAATTTCAACTCTGACACAGCTCCCTTGAAATCTTTGAAGAATCTTCATCACTAGTAACAGCTTAAAAAAAATCAATCTCAGCTTCTCTTTAATATCGATGTATAACAAACTTGGTGTTAACCCAATAAAATCTGACTTATTCCGAAGTGAAAATGAGACATCTGAGTGACATAAGATGCACACAAAACAAATGGTTGAAAAGTAAATGTGGATCTTTAACAGTAACTGTTTCAGAAAACAATTTGGTATCATCAATATTAAATATCTGATAAAAGTATTAAATTATATAACTTACGAGGTGAAGCCACAGGTAAACATGACGCACATTTTGCGCCTCCAAAAGACTGGCTGCAATATGGGTATGCATGTACTGTCAAAAGGAGTTGACTACTAATACATTTAATACCGACCGTATTTATCAGGTTTTTATATATTTCAATCCAAGAAACTTTTCTCAGATTTGTCGCACACAAAAATTAACGGTTGTGATAAACTCATGAGGTACAATATAAAAAGGTAAAAATATGTACACTTTAAACTTGCAGTTCCATTTCTAATAAAAAAAAAATATTGGGCAGCAGAATGATATGTACAAGTTATAAACAGCATGAACCATTTTTAGGAAAATCTTGAGCTTCGTTACTGATTCCATGTCATACTCTCATTGCGCCACAGATAAATATTCTAATATATTCCATACTGAGCTAATTAATTAAATAGTTACCAGAGTTGCAAAAAAGTCAGCGGCGACATGACCGCTCCTTTGACATCTCCGTAGAATTTTCATCACTTGTAACAGTTGAAAAAAAATCAGCGTCGGCTTCTCTTCATAATCGATTTCTAACAAAACCTGGTGTTAACCAAACAAAATCTGACTAGTTCTGAAGTAAAAATGAACAACACAATTGGTTACTATAACAAAAAATGTGGAACTTTAACAGTAAATATTTCAGAAAACATATTTGGCATCATGAATATTAAATATCTGATAAAAGTATTAAATTATATAACTTACGAGGTGAAGCCACAGGTAAACATGACGCACATTTTGCGCCTCCAAAAGACTGGCTGCAATATGGGTATGCATGTACTGTCAAAAGGAGTTGACTACTAATACATTTAATACCGACCGTATTTATCAGGTTTTTATATTTTTCAATCCAAGAAACTTTTCTCAGATTTGACGCACACAAAAATTAACGGTTGTGATAAACTCATGAGGTACAATATAAAAAGGTAAAAATATGTACACTTTAAACTTGCAGTTCCATTTCTAATAAAAAAAAAATATTGGGCAGCAGAATGATATGTACAAGTTATAAACAGCATGAACCATTTTTAGGAAAATCTTGAGCTTCGTTACTGATTCCATGTCATACTCTCATTGCGTCACAGATAAATATTCTAATATATTCCATACTGAGCTAATTAATTAAATAGTTACCAGAGTTGCAAAAAAGTCAGCGGCGACATGACCGCTCCTTTGACATCTCCGTAGAATTTTCATCACTTGTAACAGTTGAAAAAAAATCAGCGTCGGCTTCTCTTCATAATCGATTTCTAACAAAACCTGGTGTTAACCAAACAAAATCTGACTAGTTCTGAGGTAAAAATGAACAACACAATTGGTTACTATAACAGAAAATGTGGAACTTTAACAGTAAATATTTCAGAAAACATATTTGGCATCATGAATATTAAATATCTGATAAAAGTATTAAATTATATAACTTACGAGGCGAAGGCACAGGTAAACATGACATGCGCGGTTTACGCATCAAAATGACTGGGTGCAATGGGTATACTGTCAAAGAGAGTTGACTAATAATACATTGAAGACCGACCGCATTAATCAGTCGGCCTCTGTCCAATAAATAAAAATACACATTGAATGGTTTGTAAATATTTAAATCAGAGAGACTTTTTTCAGTTATGTAGAATCAGTCGCATACCAAAATAAACGGTTGTGGTATTAAAACATTTAAAAGGTAAAAATGTGTACACTTCAAACTTGCAGTCCGATTTCTCATGAAAAAAGAAATGGGTGACAGAAAAGATATGTACAAGATATAAACAGCATGAACCATTATCAGGAAAATCCTGAGCTTCGTTACTGATTCCATGTCATACTCTCATTGCGACACAGATGAATATTCTAATATATTCCCCGCGAGTTTCAATAATATAATTGACATCGCTCGTACACAATGACTGGATCCAATAGAGTGCTTCGTTTCCTGGGATTGTTTGATCGATTCAAGTGACTCATCGTTTCCGTGACTATGACTCCAATTGGATGACGTGTGACCCCGGACCTTACTCGTGACTTGCAGCCTGACTCGATCCATGTGATTCGTGAATTGACCCAGGCATCGATTCAAGTGACTCGTATCCGTGACTCTGACTCCAACTAGATTACGTGTGATTTGGGACCTTACTCGTGACTTGGAGCCTGACTCGATCCAGGTGATTCGTGAATTGACCCAGGGATCGATTCAAGTGACTCGTATCCGTGACTCTGACTCCAACTAGATTACGTGTGACTCGGGACCTTACTCGTGACTTGGAGACTGACTCGATACAGGTGATTCGTGACTTGGCCCAGGGATCGATTCAAGTGACTCCTATCTGTGACTCTGACTCAAACTAGATTACGTGGGACTTGGGGTTTACTTGAATTACAGACGTGAGTTCGAGACTGACTCGAAGCAAATGACGTTTAAATTGCATCATATACTCGTGCGCATTCATCTTATAGGTTATTTGGGCATGCGCATAACAGATCTCAGCGCAGTATATACATTGGACATCTAGTCATCTTCAGAAGACTCAAAATCAACTCCACTTCCCCATGCCTCAGATATATGCTTCTTATCTTCTTTTGTCAGTGCACATCCGCCCAATTTCAGGCTACTTACATGTTTCATCTGATTCAGGCAGCGAGCCCATGTTTGTGCAAAGCCTCTCAAAGAATCATTTCCCACAAGGCTGAGGGATTCTACGGTTGGCATTCGACTTACTGCTGCAGCAATGTGTTCAATGTCAGTGCTCTGCAGTGAGCAACGAATTAAATTCAGCTCCCGAAGTTCTGTCATGTTTTGTAAGGGTGGGGTCCATATTTCTGCGGAACCACCCAACCCATCAATGTTACGAAGGATCAAACTGACCAAATCTCTCCGCTTACTGAATGACTGTAAAATATCCGCCATACCCTCGCCCGTTAATACTGAGAGACTCTGAATGCCCAGCTGTATGCCATTATCGCATGGCTGAACATGACACTCCTCAGCGGACCCATCGCGACTGTAAATCCCACACTTTCTCATCAAACGATAAGAAACGCTGATTTTAATCATCCTCTGAAAACTAGCCGGCCACGTTCTTACGATACGACTCAAGTCCCATTTTCTTGAAAGGTTTAGATCGGTCAGGTTTGGCATCTCCCCAACAGATGAAGCTATATGTGGAAGATCTTGTTCATTTATGGCACATTTCGATAAATTTAGTGAGTTCAGGTGAATCATCTTCCGCAAACTAGCCGCCCACGTCTTGGCGTTACCACCCAATTCCTCATTGCGTGAAAGGTTAAGATCGGCCAAGTTTGGCATCTCCCCAACTGATGATGCAATGTGTGATAGATCTTGTCCATTTATGTCGCATTTCCATAAATCAAGTGATTTCAGGTGAATCATCTTCTGCAAACAAGCCGCCCACGTTCCTGCGTGACCACCCAATCCCTCATTCCATGAAAGGCTAAGATGGGCCAAGTTGGGCATGTCCCCAACTGATGATGCAATGTGTGATATATTTTGTTGATTTATGTCGCATTCCCATAAGTCGAGTGATTTCAGGTGAATCATCTTCTGCAAACAAGCCGACCACGTTCCTGCGTGACCACCCAATCCTTCATTGAATGAAAGGCTAAGATGAGCCAAGTTGGGCATCTCCCCAACTGATGATGCAATGTGTGATAGATCTTGTCCATTGATGTCGCATTCCCATAAATCGAGTGATTTCAGGTGAATCATCTTCTGCAAACAAGCCGCCCACGTTCCTGCGTGACCACCCAATCCCTCATTAAATGAAAGGCTTACATGGGCCAAGTTGGGCATGTCCCCAACTGATGATGCAATATGTGATAGATCTTGTTCATTTATGTCGCATTCCCATAAATCGAGTGATTTCAGGTGAATCATCTTCAGCAAAAAAGCCGCCCACGTTCCTGCGCGACAACCCAATCTCTCATTGCCTGAAAGGCTAAGATGGGCCAAGTTGGGCATGTCCCCAACTGATGATGCAATGTGTGATAGATCTTGTTCATTTATGTCGCATTCCCATAAGTCGAGTGATTTTAGGTGAATCATCCTCTGCAAACTAGCCGCCCACGTTCCTGCGCTACCACCCAATGCCTTATTGAATGAAAGGTTAAGATTGGCCAAGTTTGGCATCTCCCCAACCGATGATGCAATATGTGGTATATCTTGTTCATTTATGCAACATTCCGATAAATCGAGTGATTTAAGTTGCATCATCCCCTGCAAACCAGACACCCAGGTTCCCACATTACCACCCAAGATACCATTCTGTGGAAGGTTGAGATTGGCCAAGTTAGGAACTTGACCTAATGCTGCAGCAATGTGTTCAATGTCAGCGATTTGCAGTGAGCAATCCCTTATTTCTAACTCCTGAAGTTCCGTCAGGTTTTGCAAGAGTGGGGTCCAGATACTTGCTGAACCATCCAGACCGTAAATGCCATCAAGGGACAATCTGAATAACTTTCTGCGATTAGTGAATGACTGCAGTACATCCGCCAAATCCTTGGCAGTAAGTGAGAACCTCTCGATGCTCATCTCTATGCCATTACCCAATGACTGTACACGCCACACCTCGGGGTAACTACTGAAATCACAATCCACCAGATTCCGCATGGGACTTACTGATTCAGCGATATATTTCAAATCGCGACTGTTAATGCTACAATTACTCATGTCAAGCTTCTTTAAATGAATCATCGACTGCAAACTAGCCGCCCACGTTTCGGCGTTCCCACCCAAGTTACCATTCTTTGAAAGGTTGAGATTGGCCAAGTTTGGTACTTGACCTAATGCTGCAGCAAGGTGTTCAATGTCAGCGATTTGCAGTGAGCAATCCCTTAATTCTAACTCCTGAAGTTCCGTCAGGTTTTGCAAGAGTGGGGTCCAGATACTTGCTGAACCATCCAGACCGTAAATGCCATCAAGGGACAATCTGAATAACTTTCTGCGATTAGTGAATGACTGCAGTACATCCGCCAAATCCTTGGCAGTAACTGAGAACTCCTTGATGCTCAACGCTATGCCATTACCCAATGACTGTACACGCCACTTCTCAATAAAACTACCGAAATCACAATTCACCAGATTCCGCATGCGACTTACTGATTCAGCGATATATTTAAAATCACGACTGTTAATGCTACAATAACTCATGTTAAGGTACTTTAAGTGAATCATCGACTGCAAACTAGCCGCCCACGTTCCGGCGTTACCACCCAACCCCTCATTGCCTGAAAGGTCAAGATTGGCCAAGTTTTGCATCTCCCCAACCGATAATATAATATGTGGCATATCTTGTTCATTTATTCCACATTTTGATAACTCGAGTGATTTCAGGTGCATCATCCTCTGCAAACTAGCCGCCCACGTTCCGGCGTTACCACCCAATCCATTATTGCCTGAAAGATAAAGATAGGCCAAGTTCGGCATCTCCCCCACTGATGAAGCAATATGTGGCATATCTTGTTCATTTATGCCACATTCCGATAAATCGAGTGATTTAAGGTGAATCATTTTCAGCAAAGAAGCCGCCCACGTTCCTGAATGACCACCCAATCCCTCATTATACGAAAGGCTAAGATGTGCCAAGTTGGGCATGTCCCCAACTGATGATGCAATATGTGATAGATCTTGTTCATTTATGTCGCATCCCCATAAATCGAGTGATTTCAGGTGAATCATCTTCTGCAAACAAGCCGCCCACGTTCCTGCGTGACCACCCAATCCCTCATTCCATGAAAGGCTAAGATGGGCCAAATTGGGCATGTCCCCAACTGATGATGCAATGTGTGATAGATCTTGTTCATTTATGTCGCATCCCCTTAAATCGAGTGATTTCAGGTGAAACATCTTCTGCAAAAAAGCCGCCCACGTTCCTGTGTGACCACCCAATCCCTCATTCCATGAGAGGCTAAGATGGGCCAAGTTGGGCATGTCCCCAACTGATGATGCAATGTGTGATAGATCTTGTTCATTGATGTCGCATTCAAATAAATCGAGTGATTTCAGGTGAATCATCTTCTGCAAACAAGCCGCCCACGTTCCTGCGTGACCACCCAATCCCTCCTTGCTTGAAAGGCTAAGATGGGCCAAGTTGGGCATGTCCCCAACTGATGATGCAATGTGTGATATATCTTGTTCACTGATGTCGCATTCCCATAAATCGAGTGATTTCAGGTGAATCATCTTCTGCAAACAAGCCGCCCGCGTTCCTGCGTGACCACCCAATCCCTCATTGCCTGAAAGGCTAAGATGGGCCAAGTTGGGCATGTCCCCAACCGATGATGCAATATGTGATAGATCTTGTCCATTTATGTCGCATTTCCATAAATTGAGTGATATCAGGTGGTTCATCTGCTGCAAAGAAGCCGCCCACGTTCCTGCGTGACCACCCAATCCCTCATTGCCTGAAAGGCTAAGATGGGCCAAGTTGGGCATGTCCCCAACTGATGATGCAATATGTGATAGATCTTGTCCATTAATGTCGCATCTCCATAAATCAAGTGATTTCAGGTGAATCATCTTCTGCAAACAAGCCGCCCACGTTCCTGCGTGACCACCCAATCCCTCATTCCATGAAAGGCTAAGATGGGCCAAGTTGGGCATTTCCCCAACTGATGATGCAATATGTGATAGATCTTGTCCATTTATGTCGCATTTCCATAAATCAAGTGATTTCAGGTGAATCATCTTCTGCAAACAAGCCGCCCACGTTCCTGCGTGACCACCCAAGTTACCATTCTTTGAAAGGATGAGATCGGCCAAGTTTGGTACTTGACCTAATGCTGCAGCAAGGTGTTCAATGTCAGCGATTTGCAGTGAGCAATCCCTTAATTCTAACTCCTGAAGTTCCGTCAGGTTTTGCAAGAGTGGGGTCCAGATACTTGCTGAACCACCCAGACCGTTAATGCCAACAAGGGACAATTTGAGTAACTTTCTGCGATTAGTGAATGACTGCAGTACATCCGCAAAATCCTTGGCAGTAACTGACAACTCCTTGATGATCAACGCTATGCCAGTATTCAATGACTGTACACGCCACTTCTCAATGAAACTACCGAAATCACAATCCACCAGATTCCGCATGCGACTTACTGATTCAGCGATATATTTAAAATCACGACTGTTAATGCTACAATAACTCATGTTAAGGTACTTTAAGTGAATCATCGACTGCAAACTAGCCGCCCACGTTCCGGCGTTACCACCCAACCCCTCATTGCCTGAAAGGTCAAGATTGGCCAAGTTTTGCATCTCCCCAACCGATAATATAATATGTGGCATATCTTGTTCATTTATTCCACATTTTGATAAATCAAGTGATTTCAGGTGCATCATCCTCTGCAAACTAGCTGCCCACGTTCCGGCGTTACCACCCAATCCATTATTGCCTGAAAGATAAAGATAGGCCAAGTTCGGCATCTCCCCCACTGATGAAGCAATATGTGGCATATCTTGTTCATTTATGCAACACTCCGATAAATCGAGTGATTTAAGGTGCATCATCCTCTGCAAACTAACCTTCCACGTTCCTACGTCACCACCCAAGCTCGAATTCTTTGAAAGGTTGAGATAGGCCAAGTTTGGTACTTGACCAAATGCTGCAGCAAGGTGTTCAATGTCAGCGCTTTGCAATGAGCAATCCCTTAAATCTAACTTCTGTAGTTCCGTCAGGTTTTGCAAGAGTGGAGTCCAGATACTTGCGGAACCACCCAAACCGCAAATGCCATCAATGTTTAATCTGACTAAATCTCTCCGATTATTGAATGAATGTAATACATCCACCAAATCTTTGACAGTGGTGAGTGAGAACTTCGTGATGCTCAACTCTATGCCATTACGCAATGACTGTACACGCCACACCTCAGGGTAAGTACCGAAATCACAATCCACCAATTTCCGCATGTGACTTACTGATTCAGCGATATATTTCAAATCGCGTTTGTTAATGCTACAATATCTCATGTTAAGCTTCTTTAAGTAAATCATCGACTGCAAACTAGCCGCCCACGTCCCGGCGTTACCACCCAACCCCTCATTGCCTGAAAGGTCAAGATTGGCTAAGTTTGGCATCTCCCCAACCGATGATGTAATATGTGGCATATCTTGTTCATTTATGCCACATTTTGGTAAATTGAGTGATTTAAGGTGCATCATCCTTTGCAAACTAGCCGCCCACGTTCCGGCGTTACCACCAAATCCATTATTGCCTGAAAGATTAAGATCGGCCAAGTTCGGCATCTCCCCCACCGATGAAGCAATATGTGGCATATCTTGTTCATTTATGCCACATTCCGATAAATTGAGTGATTTCAGGTGCATCATCCTCCGTAAACTAGCCACCCACGTTCCGGCGTTACCACCCAATCCCTCATTGCCTGAAAGATCAAGATCGGCCAAGTTTGGCATCTCCCCAACCGATGATGTAATATGTGGCATATCTTGTTCATTTATGCCACATTTTGATAAATTGAGTGATTTAAGGTGCATCATCCTCTGCAAACTAGCCGCCCACGTTCCGGCGTTACCACCCAATCCATTATTGCCTGAAAGATTAAGATCGGCCAAGTTCGGCATCTCCACCACCGATGAAGCAATATGTGGCATATCTTGTTCATTTATGCCACACTCCGATAAATCGAGTGATTTAAGGTGCATCATCCTCTGCAAACTAACCTTCCACGTTCCTACGTCACCACCCAAGCTCGAATTCTTTGAAAGGTTGAGATAGGCCAAGTTTGGTACTTGACCAAATGCTGCAGCAAGGTGTTCAATGTCAGCGCTTTGCAATGAGCAATCCCTTAAATCTAACTTCTGTAGTTCCGTCAGGTTTTGCAAGAGTGGAGTCCAGATACTTGCGGAACCACCCAGACCGCAAATGCCATCAATGTTTAATCTGACTAAATCTCTCCGATTATTGAATGAATGTAATACATCCGCCAAATCTTTGACAGTGATGAGTGAGAACTTCGTGATGCTCAACTCTATGCCATTACGCAATGACTGTACACGCCACACCTCAGGGTAAGTACCGAAATCACAATCCACCAGATTCCGCATGTGACTTACTGATTCAGCGATATATTTCAAATCGCGATTGTTAATGCTACAATATCTCATGTCAAGCTTCTTTACGTGAATCATCGACTGCAAACTAGCTGCCCACGTTCCGGCGTTACCACCCAACCCCTCATTGCCTGAAAGGTCAAGATTGGCCAAGTTTGGCATCTCCCCAACCGATGATGTAATATGTGGCATATCTTGTTCATTTATGCCACATTTTGATAAATTGAGTGATTTAAGGTGCATCATCCTCTGCAAACTAGCCGCCCACGTTCCGGCGTTACCACCAAATCCGTTATTGCCTGAAAGATTAAGATCGGCCAAGTTCGGCATCTCCACCACCGATGAAGCAATATGTGGCATATCTTGTTCATTTATGCCACATTCCGATAAATTGAGTGATTTAAGGTGCATCATCCTCTGTAAACAAGCCACCCACGTTCCGGCGTTACCACACAATCCCTTATTGTCTGAAAGATCAAGATCGGCCAAGTTCGGCATCTCCCCAACCGATGATGTAATATGTGGCATATTTTGTTCATTTATGCCACATTTTGATAAATTGAGTGATTTAAGGTGCATCATCCTCTGCAAACTAGCCGCCCACGTTCCGGCGTTACCACCCAATCCATTATTGCCTGAAAGATAAAGATAGGCCAAGTTCGGCATCTCCCCCACTGATGAAGCAATATGTGGCATATCTTGTTCATTTATGCCACATTCCGATAAATCGAGTGATTTAAGGTGCATCATCCTCTGCAAACTAACCTTCCACGTTCCTACGTCACCACCCAAGCTCGAATTCTTTGAAAGGTTGAGATAGGCCAAGTTTGGTACTTGAGCAAATGCTGCAGCAAGGTGTTCAATGTCAGCGCTTTGCAAAGAGCAATCACTTAAATCTAACTTCTGTAGTTCCGTCAGGTTTTGCAAGAGTGGAGTCCAGATACTTGCGGAACCACCCAGACCGCAAATGCCATCAATGTTTAATCTGACTAAATCTCTCCGATTATTGAATGAATGTAATACATCCG